AAAAAAAAATGGAGGTGTTTTTAAGTTTTTCTTGGGATTGAGTTTTTAAAAATGGGCCTGCCAAACGAGGTTTTGTGGCTTTGGACTTAAAAATGTTTTTTAGTTTATAAATTTGGATCCAAGTTGGATACTAAAAAGACCCTTACTAACTTGAAATACTTATGAAAGAGAATGCTTGCATTAGTCACACGTGGGCAAGTAAAGTAACTAATTTCTAGTCATTGATGCATGTGACACCCATTGTGAGATTCATACGTATCTACAATCAGGACGCACACATCTTAGCAATCGCCTAAGAATAAAAGGATTTTGATAGTACGACTCTGGATTATGATCCGGATGGTATTGGCATTTTCATGTTGTACGTTCCACAGGTGCATGTTTATGGCTTCTCCACGTTGTTTCTGTGGGCTATTTTCTTGTAAGTTGAGATTTCAACTTCTGGTCAATTGTGGCTTATTTTCATACCATTTTAATGAGGATGTTGCCGACTTTTGATACTTGTCTGAATTTTCAAATTAATCTCTGTTGTAAGATTAAATATTGAGTACAGCTCTTTGACTTTATATCCATGTCAACATATTATATATATTGGCAACCAAAAAAAAAAAAGGCATCCACATCACAACTTATTTTATTTATGGTGATTTTATTAAAATGACATTTCATTTATTTTTATTTTCTACTTCAAAATATGGTAACTTTCAAAAATAAAATTGTTAGCAGAAATGGAATTTACCACAAACGTTAAACTCTAATAAAATGGGGATTGGTCTTAACATTTTGTAATGTCAGAACACAACCATACGAGGATTTTGAGTATTGTGTTGTTGGGCCGGTTTGGACTATACAAGCAAATGACACAAAACCTCAGTGTGATGTTTTTGGTGGTTTAGTTTGGTTTGCCACCATGAAACTGGTTCAACTTTCACAGAGGTTACTTAATTCATTACAGTCAGGCACGTGTTTACTAACTTGCAATAGTTATGAAAGAGAATGCTTGGGTCAGTCACGCGTGGGCGCTTAAAGTAACTAATTTCTAGCCGTTGATGCATGTGACATCGATTGTGAGATTCATTCTCATTTACAATCAGGACGCACACTTCTGGTAGGTGGTATTGCTTTAAAGCAGGTCCACAGAGCAGAGTTTCTGCGTATAAAGATGCTCTAAATTAATCTACTGATGAAGAAAAAGGAAGATAGTACATGGATCTCAACGGGAAAGTGAAACTCGTACATAGTAAATTTACTGAGCAACTTACGACATCATTTTCTAAATCGTAAAGAGTACTGGCTTCAGTTGTTCAACTTTTCTGCAGCTAAAAGCTCAATTTACTTGTAAGAAAATATGCAAAAGGATTCATTACTTTGTTCCCTCATTAAAGTATGATCAAGTCCTACATTACTTTGCGACGTATTGCGTCTGATTTCTTTTGCTCCCACTATCCAGTCCTCAAAACTGATGATATGGCTCCTATGTGGCAAAAAATTAGACAGGTCACTCAAGAGTCACGTTAACGATATTTTGACGGAGACTTGATAATGGGGGTAGAGTGAGACGCACAACGTTGTTGGTGGGTCGTCGTGGGACAATATAAGATTTAACTACAGTTTCAGAGGCACTAGCATAACTGAGGATATGTATGCAAAATGTGTAATCTGCATCTGACCAGATAATATATTTTGGTTGGAACAGGAATTACTGTATGATCCAGGCTGGACGATTCCTAGACCTCAATCAAGTTTTATGTTTGTCACCACTGCCAGTAGTACTACTACTTATTGTCCTTTCACATATATATATATCAACCCTTTCACCTTGTAATCTGCACAAGTTAAATCTCCAGTAAAGCCATCTGATTGATATCATGAATACATAAGATTGAACCACAGACACCATGCCGTGTGCCTCTCTTTTATTTTCATAATTATATCTACAAAATAGACAGTTTGAATTAGTGAAATACAATGCGGAGTGGGCCCGACAAGGGTGGCTTATTTGAACGATCCCTCAATGGAAGCTCTATATGCATCTAATGGAAAGTGCGTATAGTGCAATAATGATAAATATGGAAATGGTTCTTTTTTAGTTAATTTAGTACCCATCTTTTATCTAAAATGCGTCACCCTCTTTGGTTTCTCTGTGTGATAGGTTAAATTAGCTGTTTTTATCAAACTAGCTAGTTTTGTGACCTTGCTTTTGTTGGTATCAGTGTACCAATCTACAATACATGTTACATTGTCGGCAATTATCAAATCTCAACAAAGTATTAATGTCGACAATGAACCAAATACATAGATTTTGATTGGTATCCTCTGCCAAACAAGATTTTCTTGTTGCAATAGTAGTGCTGATAGGCATTATTGCTGGTGTATGTATTCTTCAGGATAGGTTAAAGTTTCAGAATGATTCTCCTTTTTTTCCTTATGGCTGGTCCAGAGTGAGGTGAAGGGTGAGGTTGACCCTGAATCCCCAAAGCAATATCAACAAAGCCTGTTAAGATGAAAGTGGAAGGAAGAAGAAAAAAAACTCACATGGTGTTTCTATACTGTACTTGGTGATATCTCATATGCATGCATGATTGAATTATTCTGTCAGGACAAACTGAGTATATATACGGGAAAAGTCTCTTCATTCCTTTAATTGGTCACTGACTTGTAGTTCAATCATAACTAGACATATCTGGGGACCCTCCCCCACTTGCAGAGCCACTAAAACAATATTGGCCTCCATAAATAGTCCATATATCTCCAGGAGAGCTTTCAGTTTGAGAGGTCAATGGTTTATCATCACTTTCCTCTCAATCTTTTTTATGGGCCCTCATAATCACATGACATTTCTTTAGCATAACAGTTCTTCTCTCTGTCTCACATGTTCTGCAACTTGTATCACACTCATGTAGCAATTGGGCATGACCTAAAAACACCCTAGCTACATCTTGTTGGCCAATTAACCTTAATTAACAAGTGATTATTAGATTAAGAGTCGTGCTAGTGTCTTGAGCATTTATGGTATTAGAATTTGTGGGAACAATGTGATTGAGTACATATCCGAGTGCTAATAATATATATCCGGTATGTATCTGCTTAGAGTATTATTTCGCATCGAAAATAAGATTTCATACATCAAAAAAGTTGAAAATGATGATGCATAGCACTATAAAAAGATTTTGAGCATCTATATATCATAGATCTCAAGTACCATACAACAATCTTTAGATTGTGTGTCCAACTTTTGCACTGAAATCGGTGGGGGGGGGTCTTTATGTAATCAGTGAATCGAAAACCATCTCGATGATGGGTTGATGCTGCATCTTTGGTTTGGTCACTCAGAAATTTGTCATTTTAGGACAGGCATTGGGTTGGCCTGAGTTGACATCTTGAAGAGCAAACCTCCAGTGGACCTGTGGTGGTTTTAATCATATCATGTAGTGGGGTCCTGACCCATTTACCAGGTTGCTGCAAATTCAAATCTGATGACTGAGAAATATTGTCTTGCCAGGTGCAGCGTGAGACGTGCTTTTTTTTTTTTTTTTGTTTCAGTCATTGGCCGCAAGGAAGGACTTCTTTTTTCCTTTTTTGACCTCAGTAATTCATGAGCCAAAGATATAGTACAATGCTATATGTAACATTGTCTCTATACATCTCCTAGTTAGGGCCTTGTGTGAAATAATACGTCATATATTTTGCTACTACGATGTACATGGTATTATGATACTGTGTTTGTCGCAATATTGTAGACATATTTTTTGTTGATTTGTCTCAAGCGGAGAGAGAGACTTGTAACTCTAGTAACTCGACATTACTTAACTTTTAATTTGAACCGTGCATTATAAATTCAAACCAAGCAATGATCCGTTTTATACACGTATGCAAAGAAATATGTTGCTTTTAATGAAGCAAGAATCAATGTTAATGTAAGGAAGACGATAGTGGATGTCATCACATCATTACTATTAATAGCGTAGAGCTGATATCATATTCGAAACTAGATACAAGACTTTTTTTCAATACGCAAAACTTGTCGACTTGCTATGCAAATTGTAGTAGGAGACAGCATAAAAAAGAGCTTAATTAGATAGCTACAGATTGGATTGGATTGGATTGGATTAATGAGAGAATAAATAAAACAACTAAAAGAAATTAAACAAAAGCAAAAGGAGCAAAGAAGCAAAGGGGCAAAGGAGCAAAGGAGAATTGTGGTATGGGCTCTCTCCAGCTAGTACAATTGGAAAGACAAACTGGGCTGGCTGGCTGGCTGTCACCAATCTATTCTAAGTCCACGCACCCACTCACTATCTCCATTCTCCACCCACCCACCAATCCATCCATCCATCCACCCACCAATCACCTCCACCTCCACCTCCACCACCACCATAACCTTCCTTCCATTCCATTATTACATATCAAAAATCTCCAGCCAGAATCTCAACAGTATCTTCTAAATAAACAACTGAAAAAAGATTCCTCAACTTTCAAAGACCCAGAAAATTATTTCCCATCATTTTCCATGGAAGAAAGCAAGGATGACGTCAGCTCTACCTACTCTTTTTTCACCCCCCCCAGTGAGTGGACCCCACCCATCATTTTCCCTTTTACCTGCAGCAGAAGGAGAAGCAGAAGCAGAAGCAGAGTGTCTATCTTCTGTTGTCCTTCCCCATCACCACTCCACCTTCCTTTTGGTTCCCCTTCTCCCCTGCCTTTGCCCAAACTTACTTGACCTGACCTGAAAATCTGGGATTTTTTTTTCTCCTTTTTCTAATATTATATATTTATATGTACTAATGTACCCTCCCTTACTCGTTTTTTCCTTCTCTTCTGGTGGGGACTGAACTGACAATTAAAGAATGGTTTTTTTTTTTTCTCTTTTTTTTTTCCTTCCGAGTGGGTTAAAAATTAAAATATAGGAGTCAATCAAAGGGACGTCACATCCTACAGATCTTTTATCCCCGGCGATTTCTCATGGGGTTCCCATCTCGGGAGAAACTGAAATCCTGTTACAATCACAAAACAAAACACACCAAAATCAATTACATTACATTTTTTTGTGTGAAAATCAGTGCTGTCTACATGCCGTATTCGCTAGCCAGCCACCCTATTTTCTGCTGCCTACTAACTTGACCATCAGACATCACTTAATTTTGGGCGGCATCATAATTAAATAATTGCAACTCTAAACCCTTTATAAAATATTAATTAAGTTTCAAAAACTACTTGCCCTCTTTTTTACGAGTCACAGTTTGACATATATGTAAAAATAATTTATCAAGAACATAAAAATAAAAAGGTTATGCATACATTTAACACGGCTATTGGCAGAAATCCTACTTACCAGGTAAGAAGTAAGAAAGAGAGGAGTATTTTCTTAAGGTAATTAACGCGTCGCATTATTATGTTCTACTTTAGGACAAAGTTCCAAAAGTGGGAAGAAAAACAAAAAGCAAGAAAAAGTAGAAAGTTCAAAACTAAAGAAATTATAGATCAACTCTATAATAAACAAACAGATGGCCGCCTTACAGAGAGAGAGAGAGAGTCGGTGCCTAAAATATTCCACACGGCATAACAGCTCATGTTTGTGTGTGGCTAATCTTAGTAGTAGAAGGACAAAAGAAAGAAAGAAAAGGGCAAATCAAATTTGGGGTGGGAAAAATGAGCTCCAACAACACACACTCCGGCCAGGCCAGTCCAGTCCAGTCCACAAAAGCTGCCCTCATGCTTTTTGCGGTGGTGTTGTATTTTTATCAATTATTGAAATCAACTCAACTCTTCCGCCCAAACAGACCCTTAATTAGGTGACTTTGGTTGGGTCCAGGCATTCTTTTGGCTCAATCCTAGACCGAAAAGTTATCAATTTTTAGCAAAAATTGGTCCAAATTAGTTGACTTCCAAACCACAATAAAGATATAAATTAATTAGTTTCACTAATTGCCACGTACGCTACGCGTCAACAACTATGAACCGTTGATTGATATATAAATCTCACTACTTGAATTAATCCGTCAAAATCCTACTAATTGAAACGATAGTGATATTAATGACCCACTAATCAATCCCTTTAGGTATGATCACTTGTTGGGGAGAAAGGAGACCATGTAGTTTGCTAATTTCCTAAGACCCTTAACCCTCATAATCTGTCTCATTAGAGGAAACAAAATGGTTTCTTTTTCTTTTCATAAAAATACATGAACAGTAGCATAATAATAATAATTAACAATAATGATTAGGATAATTAGTGAAAGTGGTTTTGAGGGGTACACGTACCCTCTGTTCTGCAGCATAGTCATAAGCAGCTCGGGGGTACAAGTGGTGGTGTGGGGTTGGACCCTGGCTCGATGACATGGACAAAGACGACGAGCCATCGGGTGTGGATGGCTCGGACTCGTGGTCAGCCTGCTGCTGGCACTCCAAGTTCACCCCAAACAGCCTCAGTATCTTCGAGCTCCCAACCGACGACGTCGTTTGACTCATGTTCTGGACACCAGGCCCTGCTTACAAATACATGCATGTAATTAATGCCTCCAATCAGGGCTTACCACCACCACAGACAAAACAAAATTCCAATGCCATTTGAACTTGACCTACCAATCAAATCAACAGTAGAAACAAAATTGTATTTATTTATTTGGGTCACTAATTTTGACAAAAGAGCGATCTTACAAATTATCACATTTTTATGGTGGATAGAAAAAAGCCTAATAATTTACCATCTCGACTGACACAACAACAAAATAATTTACAAATAGCAGCATATAATGTTCCAATCACACTCCAAATTTTTTGTTTTATACTCGGAAATCAAAAACGAACAAACCGAGAGTGTGAAAATATTTCTCTAGTCTTTTGGAATCCAGTTGAAAAGGCCATTCCTCCCCGAGTGATAGGGGAGGGTGTTTTCACACTTTCACGTGCCTATATAAACCAACAAATAATACAAATGTTTTGCCAAAATAATTTTTTTAAGAAGAAAAAGAAAGAGAAATAAATAGTAAGAGATAGGGTTTTCTTTTTTTTTTTTTGGGAAAGAAAATAATTAAGAGGATATACATTACCTGCTGCATGAAGACAGTCAGGTGGGTATGGCGCCACACTATGATTATGATACTGGTGCGCAGGATAAGACGAACCACCATCATTATTATTATGATGCGGCGCAGAATAGAACATCCTGGTCCATCCCCCCGCGCTGCCGCTGCCGCTGCTCTCGCCCGCTCCTCCACTAACCTGCGCAGGGCCGGGCCCGCTATCGTGCGCCGAGGGAGTGGCGGCAGCTGAGCGGCGCCTCC